TTTGGCTATTTCGAATTTTTGAAAGAAATATCACTTTGCACAATAGTCATTATACTCCTCCCTCCTGTAGATATTAGTAACATTTTTATATCATTTTGATTTTCCGCAAATATAACGAATTGGCATTCGATATTGTCTTGGTTATAGTAAAACGAATGTAGTAATTTCTTGCGCCTATCAAAGTTGTATTAGGTATGCATGTGTACAAAATATTTGCGTTAAAGGGGAAATTTATAATCATCTGGTTTCTACTTCATCTCGTTATGTGCAATCTACAGTGACTTAAACAAGAGCTCATTGATTGATTGCTTTTATATATTCAGTGTTTTTCAAGTTAAAAATCTTTGTTATATTTTATCAAAAATATTGTTTATGCTCGTTGAAATCAATAACATAAAAATTAGTATTGAAAACACGTAGTAGACGTCAACGAAAATATTTATTTATTCAAATTCTCAAAAATACATTTCGTCACTACACCTTTTCTAAAAGTATTTCAGAAAACCACAAATGTATTTCCGAAAACTACAAATGATATTCAGAAAAACTCAATAAATTTTCTGAAAAAGCCAAATGTGTTTCAGAAAACTTCAATTGATTTTCAGAAAATCCCAAATGTATTTAAGAAAAACTCAATTGAAATTCTGAAAAACGCAAACGAAATTCAGAAAAGCGCGAATGTAATTCAGAAATCATTTCCAGAACACTTTTATCTATGGACTTTTTATCATCACCCTTAGAAAACACAATGGCTTCTAAATTCGTATCCCAGTTGACCTCTCCCCCACTTTTTGTAATTGAGTAAAACAGGATAACACTTGTAAAAAATCAGATTTATTTAAGCGAAATGTTTTAAAGTCCAGCAGACATATCCCGAAAGGCCAAAGCATCCGAAAAAAAACAGATGAGTGCTGGATAGCACGAGCACAATCCGAGGTAGTAACGGTCTCTTTCGCTTGGCGAATTACTTCCTCCAAGTATTGCAGTCTTCTTTCTACTACTCCCGGTCCGTCGGTAGAAGGAATGCTCATATGACTTTTGACATAAATTTGTATTTTTGTCCAAATGTTTTCAATCGGATTGAGCATGGGCGAGTATGGACCCAAACGCAAAAGGGTGGGCGAACGGCTACTGCCAACTATTTGCTCAACCTCAGTATGACAGGGTGCAATACCAGATCTGACAATATGTTGCCCATGCTCGTCCACTTGTCTAAGAGCTCTTTCACCCACTCACCCGCGCTCTCCTTCTTGAACGACCCGCGTCGTGTCTCCATGCACAACACACCTGATGTGCTTATGGTCCCAATCAAATGGACGTTGGGTTCCCTTGATGGTGGCAGCGTCAAAACTGCTCGCGTACCAGACCGGGAGCGACCCTTTGTTCGGCGACAAAACAAATGAAAATTTGTTTCGTCTATGTATATAACTTGTTTTCCTTGCTGAATGTACTCCCTAAACGCCGATACGAATTCCGTTCTTTTTTGCTTATTTTCCGGAGAGTTTATTGTCACAGGTATTTGATTAACGCTTTTGAGGGTATACATTTTTTCATCTAAATAGTGATGTGCAAATATTATTCCGAAATTCTGCTTGAACTTTGGAAGCTAAATCCTTTAGGGTAATTGTAGGGTTTTCTTCTACCCAATATACCATCGAAGTTACCTAGTTGTCTGTTAATTTTTTTCATTCCCCCCTCCTCTCTTCTGACTCTCTTCCCTGCAAGACTGTACCCAAGTTTATGCAGTCTTGTAGTTAACACCGAAGGTCGTTGATAGGCTAGACCAATTTTCACCTTTATTGGGAGCCTCCACAATACGTGCCCGGTCCACATTGTTATAAGTTATATATTTTCTTCGTTCCACAACCGCATAATATGTACCAAATACATAAGTACATATGTACATATAAGATTTAACACATTCAATATTTAGCACGGAAATATGGTCAAATTACATATGGCATTCTAATTTTTTCACATTAAAACATACACACACGTACGTAACTAACAACTCCCCTCGACATATGGGGCACTTATTTGATTCAATGATCGGCCCACTGCATTCCTGGTGTGAAGGAAATGCCCACATGGATGCAGGCGTACCACGGCTTTCCTCCGCATATCGATTCTACAAATCGCACAATTGCCTTTGAGTTCCATTGCTGAATATAATCGTTTAAAATTATGCACAGATAAACGAAACTATGTATACCCCTCTAATACTAGCTCCAAATGTGTATTTTTCTACATAGATGTTTGAATCCATGCCCTTTTTTTTATCTTCAATTCAAAACTGTATACTTAATTGTACGATTATTTATGTAAGGTGTCTATGAAAACAATTTGAAAATTTACAACTGGATTTTTCAGAAATACATTTGTGTTTTTCTGAATTTCAATTGTGTGATTATATTCGGTTATTCGATTAATCGTGTCACCACTAGTCTAGTGAGGTTATGTTGTGGAAAGCATTTAATATGTTTTGGCGCTCCCCTGAAAAACTTGTAGTTTTGAAAGAGGTTATTTTGTCAAATGTCCATACATACATATGTATACTTAGTCGGCAGTGGTTGAGCGTGCCATCATTTGTTAGCTTTCGGAAGTTGCCAGGTTTGAATTCCGTCAGGCGCTTCCTTAACCCTGCATTACTACGCTATTGATGTACATTTATCGTTGAGCAATTTCTCCGCAGAATATGGGCAGATGGGCGCACAGATCTTAAAAGTTCGTATTACTTATTTTCGAGCGTATGTATTTTGTGAAAGGCCCGAAACCACGGCCGAGGAACTGAGTTGGCCTTATAAGCTTTAAATCTGCTAAATCCACTATAAATCAGGTATTTTCGATAGTAAAAACCGTAGAATTGTCATATCACGTAATGTTTTTGAGATATCTTACCCAAAGTGTGCAAAACACACTGTTTTGCCGTTGAGTTTGGTCAAATATCTTTTTTTCGCCTATCGCCGAGAAACCGCATTTTGTGTAAAATGTGTGGTTGAAAAAGTTAATAGATTTTCGAATATAAAGTAATTTATAAATACTAAAATTTCAAAATGCGACATTTCCGGAAAAGAAAAAAGTAAGTGCGTCTGGGCCAAATTGCAGAAGTGAATTCTACGGACTAGGCTAGCTAACTATTAACTAGCTAGCAGTCGACTAGTGGTAACAATTTATTAACTATTTCCTTTGGCCATAACTAACTACTTTTGAAGGGCGATGGCTGGCTGCAAAATGGTGAGAACTGGTTTCCTCCGCATTAGATGTCAACTAATTTGTAGCTAACTACTTTTCGACATAAACTATCAATTAAAAAAAAAATTAATTTTTTTATTTTTTTACTTATTTACTTATTTTATTTAACATTACATATTTGCTTATTTGTTTACCTAAAATTATATTTTATCTTTTTTCTATCTTTATGCCTACCTCAACACTTGTCGTTCTAATATCGATAAAATTGTCGATAACATAATCGATAAAATATCGATCAAAAATCTTATTTATTTCGATAGCTTATTTTGTATTTGTAATGGGCATGGCAAAAGGACTATAAGCTTTTCATAATAGAACGCATTCGGAATCGCCTTGCATTTTTGTCGACAATAACACAAGTTTATAGAACTGAAAAAATTTTCCGACTAGCGACGTTTTTATATGCATTCTAACGTAAAATTTTTTGCTGAGTCCGAAAACGAAATTAAAATGTAAGAGAGTAGAACAATTTTTAAGATATATGCGAATTTCCGGTTTTTGAGATCTGAAAAAAGTGCACTCAATTAATTAAATTTTTTTATTTAGATATAGCTGGCCAGCTGCGACACTTTTGCATACATTTTTACGACGAATTTTCCGCTAAGTCCAAATACGAAATCGGAATACAAGAAAATAAAACAGCTTTTGAGATATAGCCAAATTACGTTAGTTAGCCTTGCTGAAGCAGCTGATAGAAAAATTAAGAACCTTTACTAATACAAAAAGAAAGTTTAAGTCTGGCCAACCGCATTCAAGGAAAATTGCAATTAGGTGAATACAGGGAATCTAAAGGTGGCGATTTGCGCTTCTCCTCACTCACCAAAAAGGTTTTTTTTTTATTCAATGCGTGATGAGTAGACGTGCAAAAAAACAAAATATAAATTACACAAGTGCGAATTCTGGGCACTTTCGTAAAACAATCAAAGCGCACTAAAGTGGAGCAGCTGAGAAAGGGTGGGCGACGAACGCTTCAGCAAACCGGTAATAAAATACTTTCACTGAATGCAATCAGGCGAAAAAACATTTTACTAAAAAATGTAAAAAAAAATATTATTATAGCAGTATTTAGATGGTCAAAAGCAAAAGGGAGCGTGCAATGAAACCAAATAGCGATGCTGGACAACGAAGCTGACAACCTTTCCTTCAGTGTT